GTTGTTACTTAAACTCCATCAAAGCACAATTAGTCCAAAACGGCATAGTAAAAATTGTCAACTATACGCACAAATCATATAACCCTTCCCCCTTCTTCTCCACTTCTTTGTGATTATAGGGTCTTGAATACTGGTGTTTCTTTCAGCTACCTCTATTTCCCCTAAATTAGGGGAGATTCGGGGTTGGGCTAGAAAAGATATGGGGTATCCATAAAATCTTCCAAAGCCCACTAGGCTACCTTATCAGTTACTAGTCCAGACTGGCTACTACACTCCTCCAAAACCCCCTCCATTTCATCCACAAACTTTGGGCCTTTAAATCCGCCCCGAGGATCCTTTAAGCTACTACCCGACTCCAGTGGAATATCAACCTCAATACTTACACCTATATTACCTTTATTCATGGGGATTAGAGTTTCAATTTCCTTTCGCTTTCCCTCCTCGTTTACCTGGGTTTCCCAAAATAAAGGATTTTGCTTATTTAATGAAGGCTCATTTGGTTCCCTAATCATTCCTCTTTCCATGTTCAGCCTCCCGTTGGCAATTTATCCTCACCGACTTTATGGCCTGTTGTGCTCTGCAAAAATCTACTCGCTAGAGCCCTCAACCATGCCCCAAACTGCAACGGTCCATTCATAATAGGAATTGAAGAATCCAGTTTTAACGGGCATTCTCTTTCCCCATGGCCTAATCTTCCACAATAGTAGCAAAAATGAGGCAATCTTTAATACTTGAAAAACACAGTAAAGCTTGACTCCCCCATTCCTCTAATATTCATACCTCTAAGGAGGGGTTTCTCGATATTAATGATCACTCAAACTTTCAAACATCTCCCCCATCTTACTCCATTAGCCAAATTCGTTTCCACAAAATGTCCTGTCTTATTGACTATTATTTCTGCAGTCTCTTGGTTCATACTATTGAAAGGAAAATTATAAATGCGGACCCAGAAAGGACACCCACTAAAAGAGACTTTGGATGCCTGAGACATACTGATTAACCCTAATTAGTGTGTAAATAAAATAATTAAGTGATAAATTTTGTAAGATAAAATCTCTAAACATTATGAATTATAGTTTGTGTGCAAAGTAAAGTTTTTAATACTTTATGTGTAAATTTCAGGGTCAAATGCAAAAATAATGGGAAATACAATGCAATTTTGCAAGAGTTGAAACTATGAAGGACTAAGGTGTAATAAAGAATCATGGACAAATCAAAAGGCAACAAGTGGTAGCTCTAGAAGAAGACACCTTGCACTACTGCAGGGCTTAACCTTTAGGAAGGTTAAGGTAGGGGTTAGGACCTCCCGACACATGGAAGCTTCAAAACTCGACAAGTGGAAGCCTAAGACCGTGACATCTAGCTCTGCTGCAAGGGTCAACATTCCTAAAGGGTGAGAAGAGGGTTAGGACCCCTCCTTGGCCGAAATTTCACCCTCCCCTATAAATAGGGGTCTTGCCTTCATTCTTCAAGAGACTTGAAACATTCCACTCCAAGTACTCCAAGCCTTCACAATACCATTTCAAGAGAAAATTTCCTTCCTACCAAGAAAGCTAGCCAGCCATCAAAGAGAGAAAGAAAAAGCCTTTGAAAGCTGGTCTGTTTGTTACTCTGTATTTCTACATTTCTGAAATATCTTTCTATTCGGACGGTTGAACTGCTGCCACTTTTTTTTGTCTTGAATGATATTAAGGGTGGTTATGTTTCAATTGTTCCTTGTGAAAGAAGTTTTATTTTAATTGTAGTGAATACTACCCACACTTCTTGCTTGTCTGTAGCAATGGAGCGTGAGTAGTCGTTTATACCCTCCAGTGTGAGGGGAACATATGTATATTACTGTTTAGATTATGGAAATGCTTATGTTTTATTTATATGTTTATTTATATATGTATTATATGTTTAATGCGTGATATAGTGATGTGTATAATTCCGGTGTTGTGCCTTGGATTATATCATCAGTATATCATAAGACCCGCCGGTCTAACAACCACGATGTTTCTATTGATATGGCTTTACTTCCACCGAAATGTTGAGGAAGTTGACTGATGTGTGGTTCAAACCTAAATGATACTCATGAATGGCTTGTCCTTCTGGATTATTAGGGTTGATTATTATTATATATAATTATTATAACAGTCTAACAACCACGATGTTCCTATCGGTATGACTTTGCTTCCACTGGAACGTTGAGGCTGTTTAACTGGCACATCTATACCCAATGTAGCTTAAGAAGCAGCTGTGTTATAATATATTACCACTAGTGTACCCTAAGAAGCAACTATGTTATGATTTATATATATGCACTTGCAATCATGAGATCAAATGAATAACTCAAGTATTCCTCATGAATGGTTTGTCCTTCTGGTTTGCTTGGGTTAATCAGTTGACATAGATATAACCGGTGTAGCTTAAGAAGTAGTTGTGTTGTAATATATTACCACTAGTATAGCCTAAGAAACAGTTGTGTTATGGTTTATTTACATCAGACCTGCCGGTTGACTTTTCAGTAGCATGTGAGTTAATTGTTGTGAGGTAGCATTTTAAGTATCTAACCAATATAATGCATATCGAACCCTTAAACTGAAGGATATCTTTTATATTCTGGTTGCTAACGCATTTACTTACGCACCTTATTATTTCTGTCATTAATCTGTTTTATTTACGCATTTTATTATCTCTGTACTTTATTTTCGCATTGCTTTTATTTAAATAAACTAGTTATCAAACTAAACTCACACCACAAGCTATAAAACAATATTCTGCTTCAAACAACACTTTTAAATTTTTTTATTTATTTTATTTTATAGTCTAAATTACTAAACTCTTCGTGGGATCGATACTTGGACTTAAAACCGAGAACACTACAATTTGACTACTTATACTTGGATGTACAATATAATAATTCAGACCACTAAAAAGTGTGAATCACGTACCATCATAATCCTTCAATAGAATTAACAGATTATCAAAGGACCATGGCATACCTTCAAGAACTCTATTCTTGTCCAACCTTTTACTGAATTGAATAAGAAAGAAATTGTCACCCGCCTCAATAAAATCCACTTTGGTTATATTTCAGAACTTTTTCATTGTAGTTTTGAAAGCCATCTTGTTGTAAAGTTTATCTGTCAGGACTTTCCCAAAAATGCACAATTTGCCTTTCTCCCCCAAATCACCGACCCCTTGGACATGGAGATGAACTCCACTACTCTCCTCTTACTCCACAACTGTTGCATCTCCTCATTCATTATTGTAACAAGAAGCCCACTCACCCAAATGCTAGAGTCGTTCCAGCAAGTCAACCCCAATGAATCAGAAAAAATAAACCAAGATCTGCACACAGGAAGAAAAAACAAGAGAATTTTAATCAAATTGGTGAAAACCTCTTTAAAGAATAGCCTAGAAAAAACCTAATCAGTCAAGAAAGATAAGGGATTCAAAGAACAATCGATCCTTCTAGAAGATCCGAAAAAGAATAGGACACTTCCATTAGTTTAACCTAAGGAAGATGTCGACTCTGTAAAATAGAGACGAAAAACTCTACTCCCCTAACGGGAGAGAGACACATTTGGGGGATCTTTGACTAAATCTAAGAGACACGTATTTTTATTTTGAGTAATCACCACTAGTTGAATTACTATATCTCATTTTGACTATGTTATGAGAAAATACATGGACAGATCTAGAGGGAGGGGGGCATTGTGTCCCAAAGGTTTGATAAATCCTGCACTTACATACAAAAATCATAAAATGATTTCCACAGTTTGATGGAGTTCAACCCCAAGACCAATAGTACTAAGAATGCATTTGGTATAATTTATGAAATCTAAAAATTATTTTTTCAAAAAGTATTTATCAAAAGTGTTTTATAAGAAAAACACTTTCATTAAATAAATATCGTTTGGATATTCAAAATAAAAAATACTTAAATAAAAATATTTTATAAAAAGTTTGTTTGGGTGTAAAAATACCTATTTGTGTTACAATTGCTAAAAATGCTAAATCAAAAGTGCTTATTTAAATACCGGCATTGATTTATTTATTTTTTAAATTCCTTCAATTCAATAAACCTGACTGTAGGTGTATTGACAAACAAATTTCTTAGTTATCCAACTGAAATGGTAACATCTCTATAACATTGGGAAGTATCATTACTTTCAGAAATGGTAACCTACTGTTTCAATAAACCTGTTGTTACCCAAGGATCCACTACCTATAATATTCGACAATTAACAAGTTCCATTAAAATTAATGCAATCTTGAAACAAAAAATTCAAAGAAAAATCGGGCATAACATTTACTTTGTCATTGCATTGCACATAACATAATATAAATTTTTGCAACAAAATTTAAAAAATAATTCCAATAAGCCTATCTGATTGAACTACTTGTTCCGGATGACCTAAAATTGAAGCAAAAAAAAAAACAACAATATAAACATTAGCATTCAAACATGTTCAAGCACAACATTAATCAATAAATTATCTATATTTACAAGATCACATTTACAAGTTTTTCATTATATACTCTAAAAACTTTACATTACGATTGACAATATCTTGTAACGAGATCTAAAGGATGCAATTTAAAAAAAAAAAATTTAAGCCAAGCTTTCCAATTTGGAGAAATTTAGAACTAGCCTAACATGTGTCACTGACCACATCTCTACGTTAACAATTGCTTCAAGTTCAAATGCAAAAAATACTTCAAGTTCAAATGCAAATAAATTAACATAAAAACCTAGTGCCATTTCATTAAAATAATAATAAAGCTGAAAAATTATATAATGAAATAGCCCGACCTAAACCCCGTGGTTGTTTGTTTCTCAACACAGGCTGCAGTGCATAAACATTCTTATTACTCTAGATATAGTCTATCCTATACTTATAGGTACAACTTAGTAATGCATCACACTAGAGAAGAGCTAAAGGAGTTTGAGTTGACAAACGAAATGCTAGATGATCAAGAGTGGTATAGATTATTCCTTTCTAGTATCAAAGCCACACACAAAATACATGTTCAATTTAATAAAAAGCCTTGTCTTTGGTGCTATTCAGATGAGATAAGGGACTGAGATGCCAGCAATTCCATGCCATAGAAATAAATAGAACAGATAAAATTACTAGAGTTCAGATAGTCATCAAGTAACACCCCAAGGTCAACAAGGCCGGTTACAACATTCCCGTTTTGCTGCCTTAATTTTTGTGGTTGAACTAAGTTGAAGCTGGATGTTGACCATACATAAGTCGCTCAACCCAAGGTAGAAACCACTTGTGCCCAAATCGCTGCACAAAACAAGTAATGCCACAATAGACCCCCAGAAGTACATATTTACGTATGGACATGCGATCAAAATCGAGCCTTTCGTTTGAGCTTTGTATTTTGTATCTGGAGGCATGACATTTCCCTTCTCCTCATTTGTTCCTTCTTCTTCATTACCCACTCTCTTCCATTCCCCTTCTTGGTTATCTTTTGCTTTTTCCTAGGCCTCTGCCTGCCTGAAATGCACACCTACAAGGCACAACGAAACTTGGTCATAATCAGACATACACGCATTTAAAAAGTTAATATCGGATCGTTAATAAGCATCAATACTCCAGATTCTAATAGAATTTATCCATCCTCATGAAATGTAATTGTCAAAAAATTATCACACACTAGAATACACTGTCTGATTTTCTTTGTCTCCACTACCCTCATCATCTGAGCAACTTTCTTCTTGTTCTCTTTTCCCTTGTGGAGTGGCAGCACTCAAAGATGGTGGACCACAATTTAGCACAAGGTATTCTTTTCTTTTCTTAGTACTGTCACGAGAAAGTTAATCTCAAAATAAAAAGGTACATTTCATCAAGAATAACTCTTCTCATAAACAAAATGAAGAGATATTTTGGATCCTCTGCATACCTGTGTGGGTTGTGAACAAATACACCACCAGCAAATCCAGAACGCATGGCAAATCCTAGGATCAACTCACGCTGGGCAAGCTTTTCAGGGTATACTTGAAGTACTGCTCGAGCTCCCCTTGTCAAACATCTATATAATGATCCAAAGAAAGCCCTGAGAAATGTAGTGTTTCAAACACATTAAACTCAATTAGTACCGTGATTATAATGCTCTTATTTTTTGGTCAAAAAAATTAAAGCAAATTGCGACATACTTTAATCTTAATCGAGGATCATGGGAGGTCTTGTCAGCATTGCATAACCACTGCATGATCAAATCAAATGTAAATACATATGTTCTCTATATCCTTCTAATCAAGCTGAACAAACTATGATCTTCCAGCCAAAACCAGCAGCAAATTAGGCCTGAGCGACTTAGTGTAGTTGTGCTCGATCCAGCCAATACTAAAGCCAATCCAAACCCAATATGCCAGGATGAACAAGTATGAAATGATCTCAGAAAGGCTCATGTTGGTTATAAATAGGTCTAGGCACCATGAATTTGTTAAACAATACAACTGGTAAAATAACAAGTGCACATTCAATATATAGTAATACTGGATCATAGTCATCCTTCAAAATCCATACTACTTAAATTATGTTTTCCAGTTTCCAATGGTAGCCTTAATATTTAAGGATTATTAGCAGATACCATAAAAATAAGTCATGCATACAGGCCAAGGCTTTGATAAAATAGGCCTTGATAGTGAAGTGAAGATGTATAGCAGCGTCTTGACACGGTAGGATGAAATACTATACAGGATTGGTGTCCTAAAACCCGAACTATTTGGAATGACATAGATGATGATGGTAGAAGATATTCCTAGTGTGACAGATAGAAATCAGCCTGAATAAACGTTGGCCATTAGCCATTATATTATATGCACTTATTCCCAATAGAATTTAGGTCAAAACAATCTAATTCCTCTCTAAAAGCACTCATAAATTTAATGGAATCAAAAAAAAAAGTAGCTCTTTTAAGAAACTTATTTTCTGTCTTCAAAAAATAGATTCTCTCCCAAAATATTTCTATCTCCATCAGGAAAACTAAATTTTCTCTCTAAACCCGACTTCTCTCACAGGGGAACAAATGGTTTATTCCTACAAAGAGAGCAATGGCTTTAAATTGGAGAGTTTATTTGATTTCTAGAGAAAGAGAAGTGGGCTTTACAAATACAATGAAACAAAGGCGGATAATTGTTATAATTTACAAGATTTTGTGAGAGAAAAACCAATGTCTAGTTGTTTTATTGCTCACGTGGAAGACCAATGCAAAAGCGACCCGTACATTTTTGGTTACAAAATTCGCCTCTTTGGAGTTCTGGTTGACATTGAATCAACTTAAAAAGTTTGAGAACTAAGTTGAGATAGTATGAAGCTTAAGGAAATAATGAAACTATTTTGTGAGAGAAAAACCAAATTGTTGGTTGTTTTATTGCTCACGTGGAAGACCAATGCATAAGCGACCTATATGTTTTTTGTTACAAAATTCGCCTCTTTGGACTTCAGGTTGACATTGAGTCAAATTAAAAAGTTTGAGGACTAAGTTGAGATAGTATTAGGCTTAAGGGCATAATGAAACTATGGGCATAGGTTAGGGGCCAATAATGTTTTTCACCCAAAATATATGACATTTGAAAAGTTTGAGTACTAAGTTGAGATAGTGTGAAGCTTAAGCGCATAATTGAAACTATAAGTAAATAGTGTTTCAACCCAAAAATATATGACATTTGTAGGCATAGCTAAACAAAAATATTACTAGCAATAATGAGATTCTGAGAATTAAAAAGTTGAAAGAAAATTCTAAATTTGGTCGAGGAAAGGTGGCAACATAATGGCAGGAATTTTCTTGAAACTACTAGAAAAGGATATACTTATGTGTCCGCATGTTACAAATATCCTCACAACATATACTTAAGTGTCCGCATATGTAATGTTTCAGGGTGTCATTTTCTGATGTTATGGTATCATATTTTTAAATTTTTCTTTATTTCTAGTTTGTTTCCAACATATTTATTAATGTTCCCCTTTTTTAGCTAATCGACTTTGTGAACTAAGAAGAAATTTTGATCCTTGATTGGACATTACGGATAAAATGAGAGAAAATGAACCACACACTAATTTCGTATTTTTCATGTCTTAAATTATGCTGGTAAATTCATATATCTAGGAAATCAAAGTTGAGAGAAGCTGAGTGAGGAAACTCAACAGCTTTAGGGAGATACATAATGATATGAGAATTAGGTGAAGACAAGATCAATGGTCCAGCCACCAAAATCGCAGCTAACTTAAATAAATGTTCAGCATTTCTATTGGAAATGGAATCTGAAAATAGCAAGCTTTGCAAAAAAAATTACTTCATCAAGAAAGATTGATTATGTATATTACAAAGTACAAATAAGGTATCAAGACACCGACCTGCCAGTAAAATATGCATATTTAACTATGCACCATTCAATGAACAAGAAGAAACAAACCTGAACAGCTGAGATATTGATAGCTCCATCAATAACTCCAGGACGAAATCCTTCATCCTACAACATACCCAAAGCACATATACTATATCCCGATCATTTTGCACTGAACGAAAGTAAGCATGTGTATTGATATCTTATCCAATAGTGATAACGTCCAAATCGCATGAAACTTATTTTCTACAAATCAAGTTCAATAGTAACATTCCTTAATTTACATTCACTTCACGCACAAAGGGCCAACACATGGTAAACGAGTCCATTTTCCTGCCGTGAAAAGAAAAGAAATGAATAGTAGAGTATATAATCAACCCCAAGAATTCCTGGTTTTTCCCTACTAAACTCAGAAGATGTATTAATAGGCAAGTAAGTAATTGTTTATCTGTCCCATAATTCCACTTCAAGAACCCTTTTTTAACTGTCATATACCATAGAAACTTAGAGATAAAAGTGTCCCACATTCAGATCTGTTTTTTTTTTTTTGAACAGGACCCACATACAGATCAAAGCTCAAAATTTGAGTGGCTACCTGACCCATGTCAGCAAGCATAAGATCACCCTCAACCTCACGCTCCAATGCAATTCCTGGATTAGCAATTTTAAGATCACTTTAAAGATATAAAGTAGAGATCGAGGAGAGGGGGAATTGGGGGGGAAGAGATGTTACAATACTCCACTCAACAGAAACCCTGAATTCACATACTAAGCATTGACTGTGATATATGTAAGCTAATCCATTGGTGTCCATTCCCGGATAACGTCTCCCCACTAAGTCCTGATCCACAACTTAGAGAACACAGAAAAAGAAGTGAAATATTATATCTCCATTTTTGATAGTGTCCGGCTAAATGTTATAAGAGATGACAAGGCTCAAAGTGCTATTAGTTACATTAAGAAAAACTCTATCATTATATCCATAGTGGAAGTATATAGGCCAAAAATCTTTGGTTAGGATCCTAATTAACATATCCAAGATCATATTACCTTCAGTAAAACTCAACTTCATTATTAATTTTAACTCTGCCTAAAAATTATTGAAACGGGAATTTGGTAACAATTTCAATTCTTTCAAAGCCACTCAGCTTAATCAAGCAACTTATAAAAATTACAAACTCCATATCAATAAATATATACAACAAATCTACCCATGCACATACACAGAATTAAGTAATTAATGAGGCTAAATAAGTACCAAAAACTTTTTTTTTTTGTTTTCCCTCTATTTTGCATCATAAAAAAGAAAAAGGCTTTAAAGGAGAGTTGTCTCAAAAATTATGTTAACCCAAAGAGCACAAGATGATAGACCATTTATATTTATGATATCCCAAGCATAACAAAAAATAGAGAGATGGGAAGCAACAGAATGACAAAGCATATACGCCCAAAGAGCTTACTGAAAATTACCAATGTCAATAAGTAATCTGGGGACCCCATCATCAGGCAAAGCAAGAAGCTCCATATCTCTCTCCGACTGTTGAGCCTTTCAAACATAAATAAAAAACACATATATCATATTTCCACACACATTCATACTTGCATATACGCCTTGTAATTGCTATAAATCAAATTTTAATTCGATTTACCTGACTTTCGATGATGCAAGAAGAGGAAGTGTACTTGCGAGCTTCTTCATCGTTGTAGAATATCTCTGGCTGTGATTGCAGTTCCGGACGAGATGACATTTTTAATACTTCAATTCCGCTGCCAAAACCCTAACAAAGCTCTAGCACAATTAACCTCGCATCGCCAAAAAAGGGGAATGTATTCTCCGATGTGTATATGCACATGTATATATCCAAACTGTTAGTAATCTCTTAATTTATGTTGCTAATTTTTACTCCACTTCTTATATACACTAATATATATATTTGTAATAATATGTGAATATCTCACCACCCACTTAATTTCACATGCACTAACATATATAAAATAATAAAAATCATGTCACACGCAATCATCCTCTTTTAATTTTTTTCACGCTCAATCAATTTTTTTATTAATTAATAGTTACCAATGATGCACATTCATATCACATGCGAATCAGCTCCTAATAAATACTTTATATCATCATTATACATGTTTGTGTCTTACAAACAAGGCCAAGGAGAGAGAGAGTGAGAGAGAGAACTTATTTGACCAGCTATTCACCCTTTTAGAGAGTTCCTAGAAGCTTGACAAAGGTGCGGAGGCTTCTGTTGTGTCTGCCTTCCAAAAATTGTCTGAGTTCTTTCAAATAGGAATTAGCTACTAGGATGCTAGTTTTGAGGACTGTCGACACCAATCCCTGTAATTGTTCCTAGATCTGGACCTTTCCAATATTAAATTGGATGTTGCTGAGACTGGCAAGTTGCATTAGAGGAAGGGAGCTCTACAGAAGGCCAAGATTCATCAGCTATGGAGAATGGGGGTTGATATAGTTCGACAGAAGATCTGATTTCATCTTTTTTTTTTCTTTTTTTTCTTTTGTTCTCTAGTTTTAGAACCTTTGTAATAGAACTCCTTTTGATATGAATGCAATCAACCTTGGTTTGGGAGTTTAGTTTGCAAGGTTCCCAACCTTAGAAGTGTTACTCTATACTGTTTCAAGAGTTTTCAACTGAGCTTTTAGTAATGTCAAGTGTCTTTTTTTTGGTGGTTAGCCAAGTTGATCCCCAACAAGCATCGGTGTGGCTAGGTATTTTGCTAGTAAAAGCAAAGTCCAAGGCTTTCCTGCCCTTTTCTGAGCTGGGGCGCCTTTTATATGGGATATCCTTCTTTTTCCACGTTATGATAAAGGTACCTCGCGTAGAAGCCTGGTTTCCTCAAGTTGAGCTTAGCCGAGGTTAAAAATTATTGCACATTTTAAAAATTCTTTGAGATTTATTGATCCTGACCAACAAGGAGACCGCTCGAGCCATGTCCAAGTTGCTCGAACGGTCCCTGTAAGTTGTCTGTCATTTTGACAGATTGAGCAATCAACTTCCACCACTTGTCCCTTATGGCTTTCAACTACTTCTCCAGCCTCAAAATCATGCATTAAATATATATACAATCTAAATGGAACAAAATGCATGGATGAATTATGGATTTAAAAAGTAATGCACTTCTTAAATTTAACACTAAATGCAAAATCATTAGTCATGAAAATCACATATGTTTAAACATAGTACATCCATCATCATTTTATTATCATCACATATTACTCTAAGGCATATTGAAGAATTTAGAACTCAATATTCATGCAACCTAGAGCAATGTCTCATCGCTTAGTTTAATTTCATTCACACGCATTCAAATATTATCAATCTTTTGATCAATTCATGTGTAAAGTGTTTGAAACCAAACTCTGATACAATTAGAATTCCTTTTACATCAAATCATTCACAAAGTTCTACATGAAATCCTAATTCATCATCTAAGTGTATATATAGTCAGTGAGTGAGTGTATTTTTCTTTTTGGACACTCCACTTATTACATCCCTTCTACTTATATGACTTCAATTAGCATGATTGTGAATTGCATATTTTACATGTTATACTTCTCAACATTTGTAGCATATCTCTTTAATCTTTACTTGTGAGCAAAGGCATTAAGCATATACTACTCTCAACAATTCAAGTACAATTGACTCTAGCCATTTATTTTATGCCTTACATTTTTTATGTTTGACCACATTGGGCTCTTTTCTCATAATTGGTTCTTTGTGTGACGCCCCAAATTCGGGGGTCCTTTGTCACCCGTTGATCACTCATCAACCCACAAAAATACCCATGTATGTCGTATAACCTGACACCATGTCATCAAATCCCCTTTATCAGGATAGTTACCAACACAAAGTTTGGGTAGGGTTTCCCTTGAATCGGAGCACTCCTAAACTCATAACATGTGCACATATCAATCACTTGACCATTTCAAGGTCCAATCCCCTTCAATTTACACTTAATATTGAACCAATTATATCCTTTAAGTAAGAAGGCTCAAGGTTCAAAGGCTTGGAAAGTTATATTTAATTTTTTTGAAAAGTCTGAAAGAGGTACCGATACCTCTTACCTGTGGTACTGGTATTTGAGCCTTTTGTCTGTCAGGTATTAGTACCTGAATAACGAGGTACCAGTACCTGGACCTTTATTTATAGGTTCATTCTAGTTGCCAAGTACTGATACCTAGGTGACAGGATACCAATACCTGAGCCAACTATTTCTTCCAGTTGCCTCATGTTGCATTAGGTATCGGTTCCTTCTAATTTCCACATTCACCTTATTGGGATGATAATGTAAAGTAAAGTCATAATCCTCTTGGTACTCCATCCACTTGTATTGCCTCATGTTGAGGTCCCATTGTGTGAAGATGTTCTTCAGACTTTTGTGCCCAAAAACACCTCAAACTATTCTCTATGTAGATAGTAGTGCCATGACTTCAAGGCAAAGACAACGATCGCCAACTCGATGTCATGCGTGCGGTAGTTTTGCTCGTGGCCCTTCAACTGCCGAGAACCATAAGCCACCATCCTCCCAGCTTGCATCAATACACATTCAAGTCCATCCTTGGAGGCATCACAGTGTATTGTGTACCTTTGTCCTCTCTACACAACTATAAGGATAGGAGCTAAAGTCAACCTCTTCATCAACTCATAGAATGCCCTCTCACACGAGTCATCCCATTGAAACTTAACTTCCTTCCTGGCAAACTGACTTGATCTGAAATGTGTACACTCCAGTGAATGCGGTCAAGTTGAAGTAATAATCCGGTTAAGTTCGAAGTCGAATCCACAGGAAACTATGATTGGTGTTTTCAAGTAAGCAATAATAAAGACCAAGTAACTGGAAGTCTTGAGAGTTTGAAGTTGTGGGGTTTTCTAGATAGAATATAAGATTCCTTCCAATGGCTCTTTTTCTAGACAAAATATAGGATAAATTAGCAAAGATAACAACCACTCTTTAGTTCGAAGATCAGAACATGTAATTGATTATCCGATTTATTATGTTTGTGCTTTATAACTCAATTAACTCCAGTATCAACAACAAGTTAATCGAAAGATAAAGATGAACTGTGAGAATTAAGCACATGATTCTGATGCCTTTCTAGAAGTTTACAAGAATTGTCTGTGCCTAGACTTAACCTGTCTACAAACAAGCAAGTATTTCTACAAGGCATCTAACCATGGCATTAATGGTCCATTCTTTGAATAAAGCACAATAATGGTGGAGATTGAAAGGTTATCATGAAGAGCTAACCGGGGTGCTTGCCTTGAACTAGCGGGTCTTTCTATGCAGGAGTCATTCGTATCATAGAAGGAGCCCTTGGTTATACAGAGTATCGTAGCTTTGCTAGATGGATTCAAACATCCAATGAGCAAGTGGAATATAAAGCATTAAAGGATAAAGGAATTGCACAAATATAACTTCCGGGTAATTTTTACATATTCATCACCTATTACGAAAGAGTGAATGAGGAACTACTCACTCTTCATAACTTTGATAAAGCTAGAAGAGTGAATGATACTCATCCCTCCAAGTAGAAGAGCTACTACGTGAAGCAAACTAAACAAAAAACTTATATTCAATGAAGAATAAATGAATCACATTCCACCCTTCACGACTTTGGTAAAGCTCTAGAAAAGTGAAAGATTTTCACTCTTCTAAGAAAGAAGGATGCTCAAGCAATGGAAGTGAAATACATAAACAATAAAAGTAAAAGAAAGCTAGTTACTCTTGGAGGGTAGTTTCCTCAACCACAAGATGGAGGTTGCTTCCTTAACCAACAAGTGGAGGGTTGTTTCCTTAACCAACAAATGGAGGGTTACTTCCTCAACCAAAAGATGTAAGACAACCAAATATAACAAACATCTATGATTAATCAAAAATGAGTGGGAGTCAAAGCCTTCATACAAGCTCCTTACTAGTTCTTGGTGTAGTTTAAGCCTACAAACCAAGCTCTAGCTTCCTATTTTACAAGAGAAAAATTTCACACCTTAAGCTCCCTTAATGAGAGTATTTATAGGCAAGGAAAGGGAGGGGAAGCAAGAAGATAAGAGAGGATGAGTGAATAGTGTATGCCACCCATGAAAACCAACTACTCTGCAAGCAGTCTGTGGAGGACGTTCGAACGTGAATCGACATTCGAACGTTGTCTTCTATTTTGCTTTAAGGGCATTTGAACGTGTCTTTTGGTCTTGCTTTATAAGCGTTCGAACGCCAGATAGGGCCTGACCTTTTCCACTCAAGTGGTCTTTTGTGAAGTTCATTTTCACACTCTATACATAAGTCTGTTCTTCAAGTGATTCCAAGGGACGTTCGAACGCTGAATGGCATTCGAACGTGGTACTCAAGTGCTTCAGAGTCCTTCTCTATTTACTACAACACGTCATGTCTCATCAATCTGGCCTTCAATCAACTCAAGTGGATGTTCAAACGTTAGTTGGCATTCGAACATGGTACTCAAGTACCTCAGGGTCCTAGTTCTTGGCTGCAACACACTGTGTCTCAACAAGCTGGTTTTGTCATAGTTCAAATGAATGTTCGAACGTGAGTTGGCATTTGAACGTTCTTGCTTTGTTCCAAGCCTCTCCAATTTCATTCCCTAATGTGCTAGTGCGACATTCAAGTGTGACTTTTGTTGCCCTCGAGCCCTTGTTCACTTTAGAACCTGGAATATCCTTAGTTGAACTCTATCAAAGTACAATTGGTCCTAAAAGGCATAATA